GGTTCCTCTTCTGTAAGAAAAAGGCAGATAATAGTACCTGACCAAAAAGACTGTTATGAGAATTGAGATAATGCACATAGAGAGTTGTGTAGTAAAAGTTCGGTAAATTATTGTTATTCCACTCTGCCATAAGAATCACATTTTGGTTAAAATAGGAACAGCTGGTTAGTGAAGCTATCTCTGAGACTAGCAGAATTTGGTGTTGAAGGATAAGCTTACTGACTGCATAAAGCAATGAACAGATATTTGTTGAACCTCTATGATGATGTTCTTGCTAGGAGTTATGATGAAGCTATCTATGCCTCTTCATTTAATTCTATAATCTTGCAAAGTATGAATAATGAATTCCAATTTACAAATGAAATTAGAGAGGCTTGGGGAGGTTAATAATATGCCATAGTCACATAGCTAATAGGTACAAGAATGGAGATTTGACCACTGGCTGGCTGGGAAAACAGCACACTACAAATCTTGTTGTACAATCAAAGTGGAAATTTCAGCTCTGAACCAATAGATTATGAACAATCTTTCCTCTAGAGCTCTAATTTTGAACAATGAGAAATATTAATCCTCAATGAAATGCTGAAGACCTATAATTCACTCTGCCATAGCATTAATATTTTCATTGGCAGTTCAAAGTAGTGCACTGTAAAAAAGAAAAGCCATTAATTGGCTACATCAGTCAGTTTGGTGATAAATACAGTCAGCTACAGCTATATTCTCACGTTCATTATAAAAAAGAACACATCATATGTACATGTTTTAAATCCTTAAAAAGCTGTGATAGTTCTCTAAACTGAATAAATGATAGAATGATGCTGGGAAGTGCTAAACTATTGAGTACGAGATACAATCCCTGGAGAGACATAAGTGCAAGTCGTGTGTCAAATGACTGAGATATATTGTACTAGAATTAAGGGGAAAAATGAAGGTAGGGCATCCAATTATATTAAGCATTTGGAGAAAATGGTAATATTTGTGATGGCAAGTTGTGAAAAACGAGAAGCCTGGGACAGAATACACAGGTCTGCTCCACTGGAATGACTGCTCGGCCATTAATGAGCACCAACACGGGAGAATTACTAGTGCACCGCTTCTATGCACATTCCGGACAAGATTTTTGTTCCTTTTTTTTTTTTACCAGAAAGTAAGTAACAATAGTAACCTCTTTCAGAATTAATTACTATAGAAAAGACCTTTGTATTCTGAATGTATTTGTTCTGATTAAATGTTCTTTTTGACATTTTAAATGAAGTGAATCTGCTGGTGGTTGTCTTCCTTTAATTAGGAAACTTAATAAGCCTGCACTGCTTCTCTGACACATACACACAAAAAAGTGTATTATAAGAAACATGACTAATTTCCTTTGTTAAAAATTGTAAAAAGGTACCTTAACAATGTCCTCATAGAGAAATCAAGATATGTGTTTTATGCTACAAATGTTTAACCCTGGCTACGGTGTAATATTTACCTGGGGAATACTTAAGACTACAGGTATCAGTTGCATTCTCCAAACCATTTAAAACTGATTCTCTGGAGCTGGGACCCAGGGAGTTCTAAAAGCTCCTGGGTGACCTAAATGTGGACCAGGCTGAGAACCCTGGTGTAGGCGATGGAGCCAGGCCACCAATGTGTTCACTAATGAGAACGTCATTTAAGCAGGTTATAAATAAATTCATTCCAATGTTGTAAAATAAGTTTGGAGGAAGATTATTATCACTTTTTGATAAAATCTTTTTATTTGTGTTCAATTTGTGAATAAGAAAAGTTCAAAGGCATTGATCATAGGCAAGTCCAGTGAGTGACAGGTTTTAATGTACGTCTTGCTCAACTAAAGAAAACCTTATGTGATAACAGAGAAAGGACCAAGAGGCGGCTGAGTAAGCTTGTCATTGTTATAGGAAAAATAAACTAGTGGGAGTATCAGGAGAGAATCTTTCAGTATCAATATTATTACAAATACTAGATAACTATCAATTATTTCCAAATTTCAGTTTTGGAAAACTATTTATAGATATGTGTGATATTTTGATTAAAATATGAGCATTTTTTCTACTTATCAAAAAATTTTAATGTAAATATTTTTACATATTCTTATCTATAATATTTTAGATGTTGTCTAGAGAAACAAAGAAAGAAAAAACAAACAGCAAGAAAAATATAACAACAACAAATAATCACCTCAGGTAAAAATTCCATTAGCTAGTATACTGACATATTTCTTTCTAGTCCTTTCCCAATACATTTAAAATTAGTAATTAAAATAAGAGGTCTACATTTATACTTAAGTTATTTTCCCCTCTATCAACATGCACTAAATGTTCAATAAATTTATTAACATCTATGTGATACTCTAGCATGTAGACATTTTACAATTATTTTAACTATTCCCCTATTAGAATAATCAATTTGCTTCTATTTCTAAGTTTGATAATTACTATAAACAAAGCTGTGAGAAAAGAAGTATTTTTTTATTTTTTGATATATCTTAGAACAGATTTTTAGATGTAAAAATAAATGTCCTTGAAAGAAATGTTCTACAGGTTTCCTCATTTGGCCCATATAGTAAAACAACTCATCAAAGAGCCATTTACCAACTTGTTGATAAAGAAGCAGAGTTGAAAACAGCTGAGTAAATTTTAAATTTGTTTGTTTGTTGTTCCTTCCTCTAAAGACTTCATTAACATGATATTAAAATAACTTTTAACAAGTAAAAGCAAGTGTGGCAGGTTCGATTCCCAGTCAGGGCACATGCCTGGGTTGCAGGCCACGGCCCCCAGCAACTGCACATTGATGTTTCTCTCTCTCTCTCGATCTCTCTCTTTCTCCCTCCCTTCCCTCTCTAGGGGGAGGGCTAGTGCTGGTGGAGGGAGTAGCTCAGCCAAGAGTTTGTACAGCAACAAGAGGAGCATTTCTCCTCAGTCAAATCCTAGAGGTGTCTGGACTCAAACTGGCAAAATCTACAAGGGCTGGGAGTGAGGATGCATGATGAAAACATGAAGAAAACTGAAAATCTGACAAGAGCCCATGCAGAAACCAACCTTTCCTCTAAAGAAATTCAAAGAGAGAGAGAGAAGTTAATGTGGGAATTGCCACTTTACAGTAAGGTTCTCAATCTGACATTGGGTCGTCATCTGTGTAGTCACTTCTTAGCCATTCACTCAAAAGTTAAGTCTTATCAGTTTTCAGGACATCTCCATATATCCAAAACACTGAGTCAGCCTTCCTGTTCTTTTCATCTTAAATGTAAACAGGCAACTAAAGATCATAAATTTTAGTAAATTCTATAGCCAAAAAGAGAACAACTAATTTAAATAAGCAGACAAACTGAACCTTGAAAAAACAGGCTAAAATTTAAAGAGCAAAGAAAAACTTAAGACAATCACAAATAGCACTGGATAGATTAGAGATCTCTTCCTAAAATAAAATAGCATGCTCTAAAAGTTACATTCTAAGAATATAAAAAAAGCTTGGAAATCAAATAACATATATGATTTTATACCACCCTCCTCCCCAACACATGTATAAAAATATTTGGAAGAAAAATTTAGGAAATCTCCCAGATCCAAGACGGAAATCAAAACCACAGGATAAAAGGAAATGTTTAACTTTTAATTGGACCTCCAGAAAGAGAGGAAGGAAAAAACAAAGGCGCACAATTGTGGGCAAATCATACAGAAGCAAAAAGGAGTTCTGAGGCAAAATGAAGGGACATACAACCTCTAGAGCAGGAAGGATTAAAACACACACATGTGTACACACACACACACACACACACACACTCTTCCTCATTGTGCTGTAGAGTTTTATAGCACAAAAAGCAAAGATAACAAAGATGTATGTAGAGGAGAAAACTATCAATTGCAAAGAAATAAGATAAAAACAGCAGTAACAACAGATGCTCGATGAAAGTCTCTAACTTTAAGAAAAAAGATTTTTAATCTAGAATTTTATGGCCAAGCAAATACCAATCGGTAGCAAGAGCTAACTGAAGTCATTTCAGATATACAATCACTTAGAATGTTTGCACATCACATCAACTTTCAGAGCTTAAGGATATACTCTGAAAAAAAAAATGAGAATGAAAACTAGCAAAGAATAAGTGTGACATTAGAAACTGGAATTATCCTGTACTCCAAAGAAAAGTCAATGTAACCAAGAATTTCTTAAAGGAGAAGATTGAGATGATGGATATAAAAACAAGAAACTGAAACATAATGTAAATGTTTGGAAAAAGGAATATTTTTGTTCTCCCAAGAAGAAAACAATGTCAGTCTAGGAAAACAAAACTAACAAAAGATAGTGGTATAAACAATGAAGTAAATATAATGTATGATTCTGATTACTTACAGAGGGCTAGAAAGGGGAATTGATCTAACCTTGACTCTAGGAATATTCAAGAGAGGCACAGAGGTCATAGCAACTTGAAACTGTACTATACTACATCTGCAGGAAGCACCATTTTCACAGCCATAATATATCTGCCAAGTGAGGAGTCAAGATATACTGTTGAAATGTGATTGGATATGATAAAAAGGTGCAAATGCACTATTTACAGTAATAAATTTAGTCAGTAGAGAGGTTTAAATTTAAAATGGCAATATAACTATGAAAAATTGAAAGGTTATATGTGATAAACCTTCATCCAGCACAACAGGAAATCAACAGATAATGCTGAAATTTGATAAATACTAGACATAGTAATATAAATGTACTTATTCATGGAGAACTGTAAACAATTTCCAAGAGAAAAACCACAGAAATTATTCCTTTTCTTCAGTTATGGGATTGTTATTCATTACAAGTTTATAAATATTGTTTACATGTCAAACAATATAAAATACCTTAATCATTTAACCTCAGAATATTATACTCACCCAACATATATTAAGAACCAAACATGAATTTTTTTCCTAAAAACATAATATTCCAGGTTTGAAGAAGAGAGCTTATCTTTAAGAAGGGGAACAATATAAAAGGAATAATAGAAATCAACTCACCTAAGCAAAAATCACTGAGGTCAGCAAAAGAGCACTTGAGTACAGAGTCTTTTTTATCCTCCTCAGCATTAACTGAACCAAAAAAAAAGGACAATTGATAGATTTGAGAAATAAAAAGATAACAGTTAAAAAATGACCATAGTGACTATAGTTTAAATGATAGTCAAACATAAATAATTTTTTAAGTTAATGAATTGGAATTAGTTATTTAAAATTAACATTGGTACTGTGTTTTACAATACCTTCACCCTCTTGAACAATTAGCCACTTTCCTTGTTGGACATGGATGTCATTGGACTTTTTATACTAGGTAGTGATTTCACATTTCAATATTATTTAAAAGATAATCTTGGTATATTCAAGTTACCCAAGGGAAGAACCAACCCTAGGGAATTATAAGGAAATACAATTGAATAAGACCCAAGCCTCTCAGAAAGGGATGGGAAAACAAAAGTACACTCTCTCCACTCAATGACATGCTGGCCTGGTTGTATTTGGACTCCTGACTCCTATGAACATGACGGCGTGTCAGATTGGCAGATCTGTGTGCAGAGGAGTGCCTGAGGGCAGCCGCCAAGTCTCTTTAATGTGGCATCCAGCTGGCTCTTACTGACACCTCGTATTTCAGCACTTGTATTTATCTGAGGCTTCCATGCCCACATTTGACTGTCAGTACGTGTCCAACCACATCTTCATGCAACCAATTCTTCTTCCCTGCTTTATTGTCAATATCATTTACAGCCTTTGGTCTTTTTAGGAAATTGAGTTTATTATTGATGACATATCCTACTCAATTACTACTTGTAAATTTTCACCAGCAATGACAGTGAGCCAACAATTCAGGTACGCCGGTCTAGTTTCCCCTGCAAATTACAGTTTTTAGATCCAGGTTCACACGGGCTTGGCTGCCTCAAGGTAAGACAGAACTGAAAACACCTCTGGCCAACACATAGCCTTTCACTTAACTCGCACACGGTACTGTTCTTCCTATGCCAGCCTCCTTCCTAAAGAGTTTATACATAATAGGGAAATGGGGAAAGGACAAAAGTAGAAGGAATTGTTTGGAAAAAAACTTAGTCTGTATAAGTTGAACAAGAAAATGGAGCTCACCCTGCTCTCCTTTGTCAGGGGAGATGGAGGTCATAGACGTGGGAGCCTGAGACTCACTCTCTGCCGCCTGGAAGAGTGAGGTGGACTGGCTCAGGCTCTTGGAGTAAGCGTAGCCCTGGGTCAGGCATGGCAGGGACCTCCGAGATGGTTTCAATGAAGTTTCTTTTGCTATCTCACTCTTGCTTATATTCATACCTAAAAATCCAAATAGGTGAGTGTTAGTTATCAGAAATATTCAGCAGAAATTTTAAAAAAATAACTTTTATTCTTATAATGGCTGCTTTTGAAAACTACTCTTAAAAGGCATGATTTAGGAATTAGAATCTGTTGGATAAGTTTTGTTTGTATCAGAGGTTGTTGTCAAACAGTTCTGAGAAATAAACAGTTCCTCTTTCAGTTTGGAGTTTCACCATGTTTTAAAGAAATAAATGTTTAAGTTCCCTTGGGGAGCTTAATAAATGAAGCTTAATTACTATTAATAAATGAAGGCTTTCTTTATATGCCTTAGCCTCCCTTAAACACATGCACACTGCTTTGATGGTGACCAAGAGACCTGAAAAGGAGAGCATAGTGCAGAACAAAAACCGGCCGGCAGGTAGAGGTCCAGAGAGAGCATTCCTGGACTTAGGGAAACAGCCCCTCCCCTCATGCAGTGAAGGCTGATTTGCTGGAAGAATGCCCCTCAGCAGCACTCTGACTCTGAAGGTGGGAGCCCCAGTAACTGTCTGCTACAGCAAAGAATGCCCACCCCAGATGGGACACGAAACAGGGAAAAGGTGAAAATCTACTGAAGGTCATGAATCCAGCAACCGGCAGAACTAAATGTTAACGCTACAGCTATTGGCTCCAAAGCCTTTGATCTTTCCAGAAAGCTCCATGGCTCCTAGTGAACCTATTCCCAGATGGTCTGTTACTGTTGCTTGGCTTGGTATAAAAAGCATACAAATTTTAAGCAGAGTGCTCTGTATGTAGATACCATAGGGCTTTACCTCAGGCCCTCTAATAATTCTAAATCCATAATTTTAGTGAACTGAGGAATATATTTTGATGACAAAAGGAATGTCTTCCCACCATCCATCAAACTGTATTTCTTCTATTGCAAACTCCTCTATAAAATAACAGATATGGATAATAAAAACCTACTATGAGCTAACAATGTATGTGACTGAGTTACATAAAATAAGTATCAATTAATATTTTTAACATTGATTTTTGTTCATTCCATTTCCCATCATTTATTTAACAATTTCAAACAATTCTTGAGTTCTTACTTTGAGCCAGGCCTTAACTTGGTGTTAGGTGTAAAATGGCTCTCACACACATGGAAAGCAGATCTTTCTATTAAAAAAACAGTACAAAATGTGCACTAGCCATTCTAAAGCCACCCAAGGAGACCTGCTAGAGGAGCCAGATGGCGGCACCACTGTACTCTTACCTGACAAGGTCATCAGAACCGAGTCTTTGTGATGTATTCCTTTTCCTACACTTTACTATGTGTAATTCTTGGGTTTAACACATTTTTTCAAGGGAATTGGTACACAGATAAGAAAGTCTGTAGAAAACACTATATGAACATGTAACTGCTAAAAATATTTGTCAAATGAACACAACAAAAATTGAGAAAATAATGATGAAGATAAAACAAATGGCCTCCCTATTGCTCGGCATCCCCTGTATCCCTAATGCAAAGGCAGTTTCCCCATTTTCTGAACTATTGTTTCCAAAGATATTATAGAGATAGTCTTTGCTGGTAACCAACATAATCAAAACCAAAAGTCAGATATCTTGTGTCTAAAGAGTACAAAGTTTCTTTGCAAAGTTCCACATCAACAGTCATCACGTTCTGTTTGTCATAACAATCTGTTCTGCTCTTTGCTTGGCATGATTGACATTAACACCCCCCAGAGCAAAAATCAGGCCTTTTTCTTCTATGTTCCAAAGTTCCATTTCCTTTATTATATGGTTTTACATGGTACCGTTAAATAATATTTTGATAACTACCCATTGAAAGTTAATAACTAGAAAAGAGACTATAGTAACATGTCAGTTTTAGTAAGCATATGTCACTCCTGAGTTCAAGGGTAAACCTGTAGAACTGTAGAAAATCTGTCATTTCCTATACTTAGGACAGATTTTTCTAAAATAACAATTAGTACCACTTCCAATTGTTTGTTGGGAACCGCCCTGACTGGTATCAGAGGCTGAAACCCCCGCCTAGCTAAGGCTAAGGGAACGCCGTTGGAACTGTAAGCCAGCAAGGAGACAAAAGCATATCTTCCTGGCAGGAATGCTGTTTCTGCTGCTTTATTCATAACTGAACCCCCAAAAGCTTGGTCGGTTAGCCAAAGACGGGTAAGATTCCCCACGGGGGGAACGACCTAAGACAGGCACGATCACTTTGGGAGGCCCCCCAAAAGAAGGACTTGGGGGGCTGCAGCAAAAAGGGGGTGATGGACCCTCGCTCCTCGGCTTTGACATAGCCTGAGTTCTCATCGTCTGGGAGAAAATCTCCTTATCTCTTGGTTGCCTTAGTTCCCTTGCTCCACCTAAGCCTGAAACAATGACAGGGTGGTGCAGCTCTGTACTGAGAAGTGCGGATTTCCCGGGGTGATCAGGCCTAAGAAAGAACATGTAAATTACTGTGAAACCTTCTTTGTTTAGAATGCTCTCAGTTGAATGAGAAGGGTCTTAGGAGGAAGTTAGTTTGTTCCTCAGTCTTACAGCTCTTTGACCCCCAACTCAATAGACTGGCAGAGTTCTTTGTTTTCTGTAGTTTCTTACTTCCCCCTAATGAGTACTGTACTTTACCTGAATTATTATGCAAAATGAGCCTAATAAAAGCAGGTATGGACGGTAAATCAGCGCGCTCCCCACTAGGGGGGTGGCCATTCTGTCCCTACTTCCCCACAGAAACTAGTCTGTCTCTGTGCATGTGTTGTTTTTTCTCGCGTGTTTATCGTCGAGCCATCCACAGCGTTCTGTGGTCACTGCTGGCTGGTGACCCACGCGCAATAATTGTTCCAAGAGCACTTCACAAATGCTCACATATTTGAAAGGATCTAATGAAATGACGATATCACTTGGGAATACATAAAGATCCAAGAGGTATAGCTGTAAAACAATATTTTTTAGAAATGCATTCACATAAGGCATCAGACCTCAAAAGAGAAAAAGTTGCTATTCAGATACCATATAATTCAATGAGTTTTAAACTGGTATGGAGTTTTAATTGGAGAACAATAGATCTTTAGAGAACTTCAAAAAGAAAATTGAGCAGTAAAGAAATTTGATCTCAGTGTAAAACATACATTTTTCAAAAGCCCATTCTTCTGGTAAAATTTATCTTCTAGAAAAATAACTCATCCTAAGGATTCAAGTGAAAGTAAAAGTTTTTTAATAGGATAAACCTAAAAAATTCTACCAATTGGTTAGGAAAATTTTGGAATACTTTAGTAAAATAAAATGATATTATTACCTAATAAATTTTATATTATGTCCCCAAGAAGGAAAATTTTAAAATAACAAATATATCTGTCTGCCTCTTGTTATATTCTCAAGAAGAATTATGTGCTTTAGTAAAACTTCACGCCTTCATCAGAAGTATTTAGAATGGATGTGCTGAGAGTAGGTGGTGTCTCAGGATGCCATTTAATTTTATAAAATCCACACACATTATTCTGCGTTAGTGGATATAATCAATGCATATTTATCTAAATAATAAGCATTTGGGGAAAAAGCATAAATGGACACAATTTTTTTCTTCTTACATGTCAATATCCCTGTGGCTCCATCTTCTTCAAAGCCACATTTTTAAATTGCTGCATGAATGTTGGAATTAATGCTAATGATAAAAGCAACATTTACTGAGTGTCTATAAAGCACCAGGTGCATCCTGCATATTATCAATAATCCTCACAATAGTCCTGGCAGGACTTGTCATCTCCACTTTACATGTGACAATCCTGAGATGCAAGAACTTAAGTAACTTGTCTCAGATCCCCATTAGAAAGTGCTGGAGGCTGAAACAAATGTGGTGCATCTGAATCCTGGGGCTCTGCTCTTTGTAATACAACAGGCAACCTCTTTGTGTACTCAGAAACATCATTTACAATAGTATGCTCTTCACTCATTTTTCAGTTTTATCCTGACTTTGAACAAGGAAAAGTACATCTATTACATCAGAGTTTTAGTGTGATAGAGATGGCTAACTCAGATAAATTGATGAAAGTTTACTAAGAGAATTATTTACAAAGGTATGGCCAAGATTAAGAAAAACCAACAAAGGTTTGGTTTGAAGAGAGTGAAGCTCTCTTCCACTAACAAGAGACAGAAAACTTTATCAACCTTGGTCCTGAAGAGCAGGAGGGAGAGGGAGCAGATACAGGAACCTGGAGGTACTAATAGCACCTATGTGCTTAGATAGAGGAATGTAGCTACTGTCAAACCACAGACGAAGGTTGGGAGCCAGGGACATAAAATACCCAACCTCTCTTCTGTCGGCATGTGGTCTGTAGCTGTTGCCTCCCTCTGGTTAAAGTTAAACAGGAGCTGGAGATCCTGTGAACACCTGGTTGTTGTCATCCATAGACACTGCTTCCTGGGACACTGGGCAGAGAGAAAACGGTGCAGGATGGATCTGGAGGCATAAACGGAGATTATCCACTACATGTTCACGATGTATAACTTCACAGGGGCTTCCAGCATGACTTTTGGGCACAGAAAGCAGCATATGCAATATTTTTAACCACTAGAAAATAAAATTTAATTTTTTTTGGTCAAGAGTACTCTAAGTACTCTAGAGTACTTGTAAGTACTCTAAGATGCTTATAAGTTAACCTGGGAAAGGTAGCTCTTGACTTTAATGCACTTTTGAGTCTGATGGTTGTGTGCAAGACTCTATGCAGGAGATGAGGGGGAATAATACACACAGTGTTTTTCAGAAAGAGTGACTAGCAAAATCAAAATTTATCTCATATAATTAAAATATATTAGGACAAATAAGAAAAACTCTCCTTAAGTGTAATGCAAAACAGAATATTGTAAGGAAAGCACAAAGTTATGTAGGGGTTTGCAAATTGGTGAAAACACCTTTTAAAAGTCCTGAAAGAGAAATGAGTGCCCTTGTTTTTACTTTTACCTTTGTGTCTTGTTCACTGATTTTCAAGTCAAACAACCCACCACAAACAGGTGAATTT